ATAAAAATAAAACTTTCAAACCTTCCAAATATAAGATTATTTAATCTATGTCCATGAAGACCTAATTTTTCTATGAATTGATCTTTATAATTATCTTGAAAAAGTCGAATTTTACCATAATAAATACCAGGTAAATACTGTGCACCATGTTGTTCATTAACAAGAATAAGACGTACATCTGGTTCACGTATATTATGATATTCAAGATCACGATATAGATCATTATATCTATTTCATAGAAAATGAAAATAATCGGTGTCTAATACATTTTGATCCCTATCAAATAATCGCAGGTCAATAATTCAGGCATTCGAATTCATGAGTTTTCAACGGAAAAATGGTAAGAACTTGGAAGTTAGAGTCCGGTCGTATTTCTTAACCTGGAATATTCTTTTCTTATATGTTTTTTTTAGTAGAATATGCTGAAATATCTAGATCTATTCTATACTAGAAGCAGAACTTTCTAGCGTTTATAATCACAAAGATATAAGTAATATAAACTTTATAGGAATTTTTGAATTATTTGTGAGGATTTCTCGGCTTGCATAGAAAATCAGATTAATTGATGTTTCAATTTTTTTAAAAACTACTAACATGGAGAGCTACAGCTTCTTGTTGAAAAATCCACTAAAATTTCAATATCTCGAGGATGAAAACTAAATCATAGTAGGTTTTTCTATTACTCATCAAATGAACATTGTCTCCGTTGAAAAGCAATTTGACATCTGGTGGAGAGATTCTCTTGTAAGTTCTATAAAGTTATTATAATATATCATTCTAGTTCCAATTATGCACGTAATTTATTGTCATAAAGATAGTAGAATGATAAAAATTCTTGAATAAAATAGTGAACTACAATAAAAAAGATAAATCATCAAAAATTTTTTTTTCATATAAGAAATATTATGTTCTTGAATATATCAATGCTATTTCACATAATCGGAAAAAAAAGGAAATTATGATAAAAAAAACAACAAACACATGGTCTAAGAGACTATATATGAAGCAATGACTCAGTCATACCTTCGTAAAATCATGAGCCTCTAGTACTATCTTATATTTCATGTTATACTAAGAAAAATAATATTAAATCACCTACAGGTCAATAACTTTGGCTTGACTTAGTCCAATATTATATGGACGGATCAGATCAGGTTTACGGCTCTGTTAGAGATGTCAGGTGAAAAAAAAACGTGCGTCAATATTTATCTATCTGTTCTCTATCTTGATCTATTAATCGACTTGATAATTTTTCTATGTTTTGTAATACTCGATTTTCTAATTCTGATATATTTTCAAATTTTTCTCCTATCAGTTTTTCTTTTAATTGCACCCTAAACTATCACGATTAACTAAATATCAACAAATTTTACATCATCATCTTTAGGATTAGCACGTTCGTGAAATAAACATACAATAGTATTCATCATAACTATTGTTCAATATTTACTATCCTGATCATCTTAAAAAATAGGTATTAAGTTAGTATGTTTAAAAAATGACAAATGATAGAACACAGAAAACTAAAAATTACTTGTTATGAGAGATTGATCGAATAACTACAATCGTGTTATTTGTATTTCTATGACTATAAGAGATAAAATAGTTAAATTCTAATGTAGAAAAGATCTAGATATCTAATTAATATTAGCTTATTCTATTGAATAAAAATAAAAAATATATAAGAAAAGAATATTACTTGAAAAAAGATCAAAATTTCTTAGACACTTTTTATATATTCAATCATACTTAATGGCTTGATTTCGACAAGCTTGACAACCAAGATGAGTTACACCTATAACAAGTACTTGTTTACGATAGTTTGTAACTAAATTCGTTCCATTTATCATGAAATTTTGTGAACATATTTTTTCATTTTTAGCAGGATATGCAGCTATTGAAACAATGAATAAAACAAAGATAGCAAGAATCTTCTGTCGATACATATTTCCAAGCTTGAAATGATCTATATAACTATCATAGAATATCGATCAACTCATATCTTGATGACAGCTGACATTTTTCTTCATTATAAACAAAAGGCATTGTATACATAATACTTTTAGTATATTGTCTTGACATAGATAGCACATGCTAGCTACAACATTAACCTTTTATGTTGTATTAAAAGAAACAGAGAGAGA